CCGGCCGGCCGGTTATAACAGGTCGGTGTCAGAATCCGTTGTTCGAACTCGGCGTGAGTTCTCTAGCTCGTTTAACTGTCAGATCTTTTTGAGTATTTTTTTTTTTGGTGAAAATGTCTTAATTACCCCTCCCAATAGCCATTAAACGGCTATGGTACGGCTAGTTTTAAGGGATATTTTTGTGAGCAAAATGAAATTTCTTGGATTCTAATTATATAATACCGTGCATTGTTTATTACAAATTTCATTTACGAAAACATCTCAACCTCTCTCTACTTACTCTTCTCTACCGATTATGCTACACTTCTCTACACTTTACTTACTCTCTCTACCAATATACTACACTCTACTCTATATTATTCTTTTTCTTTCTTCTATCGTACAATGATCTCTTTTAAGTAATTTATTTCTCTCTAATTTATTTTGTATCAATTTTCCAATTATATTTGTATTATTCATATAATGCAAGATGGAGGAAACTCTATCTCGGGTATCAGGATAGGTGTAGATGAGAGAATGCCATCCTATCCCTACAATTACCGACATTGTACTGATATGATTCCCGACCAATTTAATTGGAGGTGTCAGAATGAAAAAATTTTGATGCATCTCACTCAAGAACCCGAGAATTTGAATTGGCAATTTTCAGCAAGACTGAAGAGCAGAGCAAAGAGCAACGAGGCAGAAAATTGTTTACAAGAGCAGACAAGTTCCGACATATTTCTCCATGTTCACAAAGACATTCAGGCAAGGAGCTGAGAATAAACCTGTACGATAGTTTAATTTGCGATTATTGTGGCTAATAATCTTTATAAATCTCTAAGACAGGGGCGTCTATGGATCATTTTGTAAGCTCATCTTTGGTAGACAAAACATCAACGAAGGTAGGATATATGATCGTCTCAACATAACAGGAATTCCGGCTACCTTCTAACCTTTCTTATTTAAATATTCTGAAAAATTACAAAAAAGAAGAATTATAGCTCAAAATGATTATATTCGAGAACAATTAATTACTTTAGTTTGGTGAAAAATAGTGGTTTTTAATAATTATTGTTTCCAAAAAGCGATTTATAATCCTTGTGACTAAAGTAGACCAAAAAATACATTCCCTAAAAACGAAGTAACTATTATTTCTATTATAATTAACAAAGGAAAAAAAAGAGTCTGGAACTTTTATTTTCTCAATTAGTTAATGAAATTCGTGGTTTCAAACTTTGTTGTTGATGTACTCTGGAGGTTCAGAATCATTGGCAGCCAATGCTATTTTTATATGGCGTCATTAGTGTCATTGGATTTGATGTGTTACCTCGATTAAAAATTCAAAAGAGAATTATTATTTTACAGTGTTTCTCTGATGAATAAACATACTGCAGAAATATAATATTTATTAGCGTATATGTGTTTATTCAATAATTGTTTCAATTTTAGATGAATATAAGTTGACAAAAAAAAATTTTTTCAATTTCATTTGATAATGCTTCTGCTAATACTAAATCAATTATTGAAGTTAAAAATATTTGTAAACCAAATATTGGTGGAAAAATTTTTCATATAAGATGTGCTTGCCATGTTTTAAATATATGTGTACAAGATGGTTTAAAAATTCTTAAATCTGATATTTCTCCAATTAGAAAAGTTATTTCATATTTATGGGGACATCCCCAAGTGATGAAAAGTTGGGCTAAATTTTGTAAGGAAAATAATAAAAGAAACGTTTTTCAAGGGATGTCCCAACTTGTTGGAATTCAACCTATGAATTATTAAACGAGTCTTTTTCTTATAAAGAATTATTGTGCATTTTTGTTACTAATAATATTGAAGAAATACATATTTGAGGGTAATTAATTTATATCCACAAATTTGGGAGATTTGTTGTTAAGAAAAATTTTAGATATTTTAAAAATTTTTAATGATGCTTTACCTATAAATTTTAGTTGGGTTTATTATCCAAATCTAATTTATTTTTACCTATGTGTATATATTGTTACTGGCACTAAAGAATTTCAACTTATAAATGATGTATTTTATTAACAAGATTGTATTTTTTCAATTGAAAAGAATAAAAACAATTATTTTTAATATATCTATATAATTTATTAAAAAATAAATTAAAATTGGCGAAATTCCTTTATCATTCGTAATCCGCCTATATGTATTAGATTACCTAGATCTAGAAAATGGATGTTTGTATGTGACTTATCTTGACTATTTTATTATGACGTATTAAATCTTGACTATAAGATAATGTTATTATTAAATGTACTAGTGTGCATGAAAGTAAACAAAATTAATTATTTGCATAATATATAATAATGAATTTGTCGTGATTCAGAGTGTCATCTAACTATCCTCATTCTACTCTTTCTAGTTCATCTACTTCTATTTCTACTTCTTCTCAATCTAATATTCCACAATTTTCAACATAAAGGGTAAGTGGTGTTGGTGTTGCTCAATAAGTTTCATTGCAAAGACAAAAAAGAACAAGGGAATCCAGTTCTATTTCTGAATTTGATAATTATCTAACAACTTCTTTTGAGTTTGGTGATGATTATGCTGATGCAGATTTTCCAATTTTAGATTGGTGGAGTCGTCACGCAAATACTTTTTCAATTCTTTCTTTACTTGCAAAACAAATTTTAGTAGCTCCGGTCTCCACTGTAATTGCAAAACAAGTTTTAGCAGCTCCGGTCTCCACTGTTGCGGTTGAACAAGCTTTTAGTCAATGAGGTAACATACTTGATGAAACACGATCTCGTATGACACCCAATTCATTAGAAGCACAATCATGCTTGGATGATTGGACTAAGGCCGAACTAAGAGCCCAAGAAAATCCAAAAGAAAATGAAGATTTATATGATTTATACGATGGATCCTCAACGAGAACATCAAGCGGTGGTGCAAATAGCGATTAAGGTAAATGGGGTGAAATTGGTATAAGGTAAGTAAGAACTACGTGGGCTTTGATTCCTCTAAACCCCAAAAAAATTAAGTTCAAGCCCAATTTTTTTTTTTAAATTATGTTCAAACTTAAAAAAAAAAACGTAGGCAACTTAATTTTTTTTTTTTAAACAAAAAAAAAATTAAGTTCAATCCCATTTTTTTTTTTTATTTTTGTTTCAAAAACTTAAAAAAAAAAATTCAGTTCAAAATTTTTTTTAAAAAATCAATTAATGTTCAACACTCAACAATTTCAAGTCTTTAAAAAATAAAATTTAATTGAAGTAATTTTTTAATTTTTTAAGGTTGTATTTTTTAATTTTTTTATGTTCAAAGATAATTTTTTTTTTTAAAACGATCTTAAAAAATTTAAAAATTTTTTTTAGGTGTATTTTTTTAATTTTTTATGTTCAAATATATTTTTTTTTTTAAACCGGTCTTTCGGTCTTCATATTTTAAAATTTTTTAACTGTATTTTTTAATTTTTTATGTTCACATAATTTTTTTTTTTAAACCGGTATTCAAAATTTAAAATTTAAAATATGCGATTCGCCGGAAAACCAATCGGAACCGTCGGTTGTGTAATCGGATCGGAACCAGAACCGGAACCGGACGATTCCAAATCGGTTCCGGTTCCAGCTTTTCTGGAATCGGAACCGCCGGTTCCGGAACCGTGGCCATGCCTAGATATAGATAGATAGTATAGATATAGCTATTGACACATTATATTTTTTAATTATTAAATTATATTTATTGAACACTTTAATTTATAAAATTATATTTAATAAATATATTTAATTTAAAATATGTTTAATTATTAAATAATTATTATACTTTCTGCATTTTGCAAGTTATTGAATGTGTTTTAAATCCAATGATTCATAATTAAGTATATCAATCTAATGGAGAATAAATGTTTCTTTATAGATACGAATTTTTAAACTTATGTACTATAGTTTTACCCTTAACAATTATTGTTGTTAGTATTGAAATGAAATGGCCTGATTTTTATTTTTCAAAAGATTTTGAATTAAATTTAAATTAGAAAATTCAAAAAATATTATAATATTAATTGTTTGCAAAAAGAAATCAGTTAAATTAAAAATAAAATCAAAAACTGCCTAAATTGAGTCTCAACCGTTTAATAACCAAGGCAAAACTGAAACGATCCAAAGAAATATTTTTAAAGAGTTTTCATTTAAAAGTCTAAATATTAATTTTAACCAAATATATTATAGGATATTTTTACAATTAAAAATAGTTTTGTGAATTATTTAAATAAATTCTAATAATGAATACATTATTTGTTAAACCAAACTGAAATACATTTATTTGTTAAACGCAAACCTGAAAAAAACTATGTTAAACCCATTAGAAATCCATCAATGAATTGAAAACCAATCAAAACTCCTGATTTGGGCCAAATCAGATTCTAATTGAACTAAACCGACTTAGGACCAATGAGAAATCTCTAGAATATGGGAAATACCCGATGGATCCTAACCCAAAAAAAAAATCTCTCCTTCCCGATTCCGCCGACACAGCTCCTCCCCACATGCGTTTTCCGTTCACCGTCCTTAATTGCCAAACGGACCACCTCTCCCCGCTAACAGCTCCACCGGCCACCGGCTTCTCCATTCCGCCTCCTGTTATTGCGTAGCAAGAGAGAGAGGGAGCTGCGATTTCGATTGACATCTCGCTTTTCTCTCCTCGTTTCTCCGGCGACTCCATCGCCGTAAACATTCAGCTCCGCCACCCTCTCCCTCTGTTTGTCTCTGTGTCTCTGTCTCTCTTTCTGTTTCGGCTAGCGCAGCAAAGTTGAAACTGCGATCTCGTCGTTCAATCGGGTCAGCGCCACTCTTGATTCTTTTGGCTTTTTCCGGCGTAACCAGCCAAGCTCCACCTAGCCAAGCTCCACCTGCAAGACATAGTGCTCCACTAGATTCCCTCTATCCTTGGCTCGGTTCCAGAATTTCAAGGAGATCATCGAGAGATACAGTCGCAGCAACTCCAACAACGGCCTCCATCTCAACCGTTGTCGGGCTCGGTTCCAGAATTTC